AATAATAGAAATAAAACAAACACTCCAACATCAAGTGAGCTAGTCCCTCTGTTCAACAGCCCCTTTACCTCTAAATTATTCTTTCACAGTTTTATGCATACCTATGACATATTTAGGTTATAGTCATCTTTTCCTCTGCTACCACTTCTTCTCAGGCAGTGCCCCCAAATTCAACTTCGTATCTGTATCATTGTTTATAGCCACCATGTCCAGTTAGGACTACCCTAACGCACATGAGTGTAGAGCAGCTGCCGCTGGAACGTTGGTCATCTACAACAGGTCACACTGATGAAAAGGAAATGAGTCTCACCCCCTAAGTAGCCATCAGCTGTCACTGTCTCCTCACTAGTGAGCCCACCCCTCTAGAGGAGGCACAATTGACTGGCTTCATTTTCTGAAGATCTTAGGCTGGCTCTAAGGTCAGAGGTCTATGAGCGCAAAGGTCCTGCATTATCCAGGAAAAATTATTTTGCAGCGATCTTCCCCAACCAGTGGCTCTAGAATCTTTCTGCTTTCTCTGTGTTAACCACTATCAGCTCTACAGAAAAGCTCATCTGGTGGGGCTAACAGTTGCACTAGTCTGGCGATATGGGCAATCTTTTGGCTGGTCATGGTAATTTTCCTACTGGTTAAACATTGACTTAATGACAATTTCATGCTTGTTTCCTCTGTCGCTGATGTTGCTAGTTAAGGCCATTGTCCCATTGTTACTGATTTTTTTTATCCTGCTTTCAGGGCTAATCTCATGACCACTGTGTTTAATAGTGTGAATGACTATTTGAAACACTAAAATGAAAGCTTTACATGGATACTGTAAGAATCAAATTGGAACACACTGGTTATATAGAAGTTTAGATTTTTGGTTTCAGATGCAGCCAGCATTGCTTTATAACTACCTGATACCTACCATTATCTTTTTCAAAGAGCTTCAGTTTTCCATAAATATACAACTCATATTTTATACATTTAAAACAATACCGTTGAGTGGTTGACTCAGGGCGTGACACAAAACAAAGCATTAAACTACAAAATAGGTACCTGTTGGCAGAAGCACAGAGCAAATAGGCTTCCATGAAAGGACAAGGCCAGGCCCTGTAGCAGGATCTACAGCTTGAGCTCATATTAAAAATTGGTGGGTTTTTTTTCCCCTCTGAAGCACAATCTAGAACCATCTCCTCCCTCCTATCAATATTTTAGCGTCAGCAAGGAGAAATCCCTTTTTCTGCACATCCATTTGAACCAAACTGAACTGGAAAGGCCAGCCAGCAGGCCCTTTTCCAACAATAGAGTTACTCCAAAATAAGGCAGAGATTTTAGAATTTTGCAATTTGGATCATTGCAAAATGATCATTAACTCATTGCTCTTAAGTTAAGCCAGTTTAGAATTGATGGCTCTTCATTTTAGACTTTAATTATGTGCTTTGGGGTAGTTGTATATATATCCACTTCCATGTGTATTTATGAGAGTGTTTATATGTTTTTTCTGTATATGGTTCCATATTTGTGTGCTACATAATAATTTGATCAACTCAAAACACTAAGCTAAAAAATATGCTGCCAAAAAGTCAAAAGGGCTGCATATTCAAAAGAGAAAAATAAACAAAGCTCAATCGGCCAGACAAAAAAGTTGCTTGTATTGAAGACTGCCTTAAAAACCACAATAAACAAATATTCTGGATTTTAAATGATCTTTAGATCATTTAAGAAATCTTTTAAGAAACTGCTCAAATGTTGTTTCTGGTTGCAGATGTAGAACTCTGGCATAGTCAAAGAGGAGGAAAATCACTTTCTCTAACATTAAACACAAACAGAGTTGGAATAAACTGTGTTTATCCTACTTACTAAAAGAGAACTTGGAATTTCTTCTACTCTGAAAAGTAGATCTGGACCTCATTTCTAAACCCAGCACAAGATCTCTTTCAGAGAAATGTGGGCACTCACTGTGTTTAATTGTGATGACCCTTGTAACTTGAAATCTGGCAATAATATAGTCAGGGAAATCACTGTAGAGCCTTCCAGTGTTGCCTTTGACAAGACACATGAAATAGCAATGGCAGAGCTGAGCATCCATTTAAAGCAGTGATTCTCAACCTGTGGATTGCGACCCCTTTGACAAATTTCTATCTCCAAAAACATTGCATTGCAGCTCATTGCAGTAGCAAAATTACAGTTATGAAGTAGCAACAAAAATAATTTTATGGTTGGGGTTCACTAAAACATGAAGAACGTATTAAAGGGTTGCAGCATTAGGAGAGTTGAGAACCAATGATTTATTTAAAACTCACACACACACACACAAAATATTCCATCATTCTCTAAGTGTGTTCCTCAGAGAGGGACACTCCATTGAATATTTTGGCCTCACCTCATATGGAAAAAGTTCACATTAAAATGCTACAAATAAAAAAATATTTTTTTTGCCTTTTTAGTGTCACATTTGGATCTCATCAAAGTTGTCACACTCATTTGACTCACTTCAGTTACTTTTTGAATCACAGTATTTGTATACTGCTTCGTTTCAGTCACACTGCATCTGAGTAAGATAAGGAAAATGACATCACAAAAACATATATTTGTGACAGAAATAGTTCCTCAATATATCCCTGTATTTCTCTCTACAGTGGCCCCCAGTGATCCCCTTGAATTGGAGATGGAACCTAGCACCTTGCACAAGCTGTGCAGGTACCCTGGGACTGACTGAGCTGTAGCCCCAGCTTTCATTTTACTTGGCTTCAAGACGGTCTTACTGAGTCACTCTGGCAGCTTTGAACTCTCTATAACTGAGGCCAGGCTTGAACTTTTCATCTTCCAAACTCAGGCTCTTAAAGATCTGGGGTTCCAGGTCTGTGCAGTCAAGACTGACTCAACAATCCTATCATCTGCTCACAGAGGGCAAAACAAAGTGTGTTCCAAAATACCCGATGGTTTTTGGCAAAGTAAAGAAATCACTTTGGTGTGGCGTGCGTATGTGAACTCCTTTCTCACTAGCTAATATAGGGACTCTGAGCGCCCCTTAGCGCACTCATGGGACTTTGGACTTCACTTCTTCAGGTAGGACACAGGCTATGAGGATGCTGACGGTGTTCTGTTACCTGTGCTTTGTGTCTCCAATTTCTGGCAGCTTATTAGAGAGGCAGTAACGCAGGTAGTTTTAGGACACTACTGTGAGAAGTCAGGGATTGCAGGAAATACCCGAAGAGTACAGGGCCTCGACTACATTCAACAGAAACAACGATCATGTATTTTCCAACTGCCTTACAAGCATATCTCCTGTACCTTACCATGCCCGCTGTGATGATAGATGGTGTGAATAAGAAGCAAATAACATTAAATAAGACTAGGAAAAAGGCTTTAAATTACTATTTTTTTTAATTTTGGTCTTACATGATTTTTAAAAATATTTGTTGTGATAAAATGTACTTAAAATTGACCACTTTAACCACTTTTAAGTACACACAACTTAGTGGCATCAAGAATTCTCACATTTTAGTGCATCAATCACCACCATCCATCTGAGGAACATCTTACCATTCTGAATGGAATATCTAAACCAATAAACACCAGTTCCTTAGGTCTTTTGTGTTAGTCCTTAATAACCATCTTTCTATTTTCTGTGTCTAGAATATGGCCGCCTAAGGTACTGTGCATGGTCGGAATCACTCATGTAAGGTACCTTAGGCGGCCATTCTAGTCACACTCAGTGTATGTCCTTTGCACCTAGCTTATCTTATTTAGAATAGTGTCTTCAAGGCTCACCCATGTTGTTACACTGGTCACAGTTTCTTTTTAAGGCTGAGTAACATCTCATTGCATGCTTGATCTACATTTTATTTGCATCCATCTATGCATACATTGAGTTGTTCCTACTTTGACTTCTCTGTGAATTAGCTTTTAATCTCCTAAGTAAGTCATTAATGTGATGTATTTTCTGTATTCACTTTTCTTAGGATAAGAAAACAACCATAAAGGGTCTGTGTAAAAGTTTCTGTAGCCAGGAGGGCCTGGAACCAGGATATTCTGCTGAGTAGATCATATCTTTGGCTTACAACCTTACACATCCTTGCTCCTCTTTCAGTGATTTACTATTGTAAGTTAGGTATGTGTCAGTTAAAACCCTATTTACATTGCTGCAGAATATAGAATTAATGCTTTACTCCAGCACTAAGCTCAATTTAAAATCATTCAGCTAATCACCTAGGTAGGGTGTGTGTGTGTGTGTGTGTGTGTGTGTGTGTGTGTGTGTGTGTGTGTTATGGCATGGCTATAATGTTATCTCCATTTGGTAGAAAGAGACTTGGGGGTTATAAGATATTTGATTAAAAGCCAGTAAAACATAGAATCTACACCCAAACTCATAGTTTCTAACGGTGCCACTTTTGCTGTTAGCTGAAGTCCAAACATTACCTGTGAAGACTGTGAAGTCCAACACAGAGACCAGAATATTACAGCAGTTACCTTTACAGCTGATGCCCTGTTTCCTAGAAAATTTTTAAATAACAAACCAATTCATTTACCTGGAGGAAATCTCTGCCTGACTAAGATCATTCCATATAGTTGTTCCATTTAACAAATATGAAACCTGAGGATGAAATTGCTTCATAAAAGATGTTGATTGTGTATGCCATGGTGGGGTTTGTGAAGCTGTGTTGCTGGGTGCATGCCTAACCTTCAAGAGCCTCCGTTCCCTGCAGGAAGGAGAGTACCCGGATCCAGGGCAAGGTGACATCAGATCAGTCTGTCTGTCTCTCGTTTAGATACCTCTGTTTATGCCTTTATTTTCCAACTGGCCTCTTAAGACAATCTTTATCTTAGGTCATTGCCATTATAGTTAAACTCAAATATCCCTCTAGTCAAATAGACATGCATATTAAAGTGAAAGAATTGGGTGTAGGCTCTCATTTCACGTGTGACCATCATGGACAGACAGGCACCCAGAGTTAGGATGAGTGTTCAAGTTAGGAAGGGACCATGATGCTAACCAGTCCTCTCATCCCTTGCAGAGTTCCAGGACTGTGCGCTCAGAGGAGGACCGCGAAGGCCTCTGGGATGCCTGGGGCCCTTGGAGTGAGTGCTCCCGGACCTGTGGTGGAGGTGCCTCCTACTCCCTGAGACGCTGCCTGAGCAGCAAGTAAGTCCTGTTCCTCTAGGGACTTTCAGAGTCAGAGGTAGCTACCCTGAAGCAGAGTTTTGTAGGTGGGGTTATGCAAACCATTGTGTTACTCTTAAAGTAAATGAATGGAAGGAAAAGAAAAGGAAGACACAACAAATTAAGCTTTACAGGTATTTGGGTTGTTATGATCATCTCTAACTACGTATTTAAATAGTGTTATGTAGCAAACAACAGAGAAGTCATATTACTTCTCAGGAAAATTAAGTTGTTTATGTTACTTCTGGAAGGACAGTTTATTGTTGGAAATGGTTCTGGACTCATTAATTAAGACATGGAACTCTTCATAGAATGTATGAGTAACGGTGCTAATAATAGCATCAACATTCCATTGTTACCAGAGAGTTTGCAAATGAGTGATTTGTTGGCTTTGTTTTAGAGCCTTTCTGGTAGCCAAATATTCCTTAAAGCTGTGAAGTTCAATAAATGATGGATTTTAATATAAGAAGGCTTAGAAAGATAGAAATTTCAATAGAAGCTGTGGCATGGCCGGAAAGAGAGATAACGCAGAGATAGAAGTTGCTAGCGTCTTCTAGGCAGAATGGAAAATGCCTGGGGCCTTAGAATGGAAAGTTTTTACTAAGAGTAATAATAATTCAAAGCTGCTTTCTGAGCTGTGTGGTCTATGACTAGATTTGTCTCCAAACTATAAAATATGAAGTACCATGGCAATATTTTTTAATGAAAGATTTTATTTGACAGTGAAAAGTGTTAAAGGCAGCATGAAGAAGGAACATTTGGTCAAAGTCACTATGCAATATAAAGTGTGAAGCAGAAGAATCCATGTATACACTGATTCTCTAACACATTTTAAAGTCTTAACTAAAAGGTTTCGTACAAGTGTATATTGTATGTTGAGCACATTCCCTCCATAGCACCCTACTTTCCCTTTTGGCCCCTTTCACTCTTATAATTGCCCTTTTTGGAACTTTGACAGATTTACTCTTACTTTTACATCATACATATATATATATATTATATATATATTATATATATTAATATATAATTGTATATATATGTATTAATATATATGTATTAATATATATACAATTATATATTCTATAATATATATGTATTAATATATATAATACATATTGTAATGGGATGTATTTAGTATTTTCTGATAGCTGTCATCCAACTCTCTCCAGTTTGTCCCCTGGACTCTTAGCTGATCATGTCTGCATATCATATATATATATATATATATATATATGATATAAAAGAGAGAGAGAAGTTTATGTATTTGTATAAAACATGAGAATCACAAATGAGATAAAAATAAACAGTATTTGTTTTTCTAAGACTAATAGGATTAAGCCTAGTTATATACATTTTCCTGCAAAAGACATTACTATTCTTTTTAGCTGTAAAATTGCATTATACATGTTCTGTATCCATCTCTCTATGTTGGGCACTGAGGATGGTTTCATGATTTAGTGGCTAGTGCTGCAATAAACTTTGATGTGCATGTGTCTCTGTGATATGTTGACTTGGACTCCTTGGGTAAATACTCGGGAGTGGGGTAACTATTTTTTTCTTGTCTTATTATTCCCATCTAAGACTTTAATTATTACCTTTTTTAAGAGTGGAGGAAGTAGGCATGCTTGTCTTGTTCATGAATTTAGTGGGAGTGCTTGAGTTTTTCCTAATTCAGTTTAGTGTTGGAGATAGGCCTATCATGGAGAGTCTTTGCTGTGTGAGGGAAGTTGCTCAGCCTCCTCAAGGCTTTCTCATGAGGGGAGACTGGGTTATGTCAGAGCCCTTTCCACACTTATTGAGATGATCCTGTGATTTCTGTGATTATCTCACACTTATGTGAGATAATTTATTGACTTACACATGTTTTGACATGCCTCCATCTCCAAATGAAGGCAACTTGATCAAGGTGAACAGTCTTTTAAATATAATCATGGATTCTCTTTGCAAATAGGTTCATCAGACCCTTTAACCTGTAACTTTCTTTTCTGTTGTAGCTTTTTTGGTTATAGTTTCTGGATAATACTGGCTTCATCAAACAAGGGATTGATAACCTCCCTTCCTTTTCTGTTCTGTGTGGTAATTTCATAAGCAATGCTTTTAGCTCTTAATTTTTAATTTTTTCTTTTTAGATAACAATCCTACCATAAGTTGCAAATGATCTATATTCTGAATACTCCAGAACTTTCCTGAGTCTTTCTGTACCGAGTTACAACACTCTAAAGACCTTCCATCTCCTATCCCAGTAGACAAACTCTTTTCTTCTATAGTGTAATCATTTCCTAATTGTGCTTACAATTTTATCACCTCTGTTTGCATTATTTTAGTTGATTGGTCTCTTAATTATCTTTATCTTGTTTTAGGTCTTCTTGTGTCTCCAAGGATATTAGAAATAGGTTTTGAAATACAACTTCTTTCTGCAATATCTTCTCTTCCTCCTAGGTACCTTTCATTTGCTATTTTTTGTTTTTTGTTTTTGTTTTTTTCACAAGGGATCAACCCTGGGTCCCACATGCTAGGCAAGTGCTCTCCCAACTGGGATACACCCTAACTCTCTAGTGCCCATTGATCTCTGACAGTCCATTCATTAGGGGGAAGCAGTTCCTCTTTTGATGTTGTGGCAGTGCTAAAGAGACATAGTTAGGCTTGGTCCTTTGCTGGCTATATGAGCAGACTGTTCAGTCACAGTTGGTGAGATCAGTAGGAACACTCTCCTGTGCTACCTTATCTGGTATTTCAGCAGAACACTACTGGAAGCTCAGCATATGGGTGGGCTTGTTGCTTCTGAGTAGAATTATCGTTTGAGTTAGGGTGTTGTATAACTCTAGTACCTAAAGGAGACACTTCTCTTTGGAAAGCTTATCTGACAGCAGCCCCTGTTTCTGCCCAGCAAGGGGTTTTGATCCTACCTTTCAGAGTGCAGAATATTACCACCTATGCTCTCAGCTCTCAGCTCCAAGGAGAATACACCAGGGTATCTCTCTAGGTTTGGATGGTTTTTAGTCAAGAAATAACTTTTATCATTACTTTAGTCATATATCTTGCTCTAAATCTATTTTGCTTTTTCTCATCCTGGCTTAATTTTAGTAGGTCATATGAATCTAGAAATTCATATACCTTGTTTAGGTTTTCAAAATTAAGGAAGTAGTTTTAAGGTGTGTCCTAAGGGTTTTCTGAATGTGTTGTAGTGAATTCATTTTTACTTCTGATTGTATTAATTTGGATACTTTCTCTCTTTGTTAGCTTGGCTACAGACACATCAATCATGTTTGTCTTTTCAAAGAACCCACTCTTTGTTTCATTGTGTATTACTGTTATGGTTTCTATTTCAATAATTTCCACCCTAATTTTTTTTAATTTTTATTCTTTATTAAATAGAGTTTATTCACTTTGGATCTCCTCTGTAGCTACCTCCCTCCTCCTCTCCAAATCTCACCCACCCTCCCCCTTCTCCACCCATGCCCCTCCCCTAGTCCACTGATAGGGGAGGTCCTCCTCCCCTTCCTTCTGATCTTAGTCTATCAGATCTCATCAGGAGTGGCTGCATTGTCTTCCTCTGTGGCCTGGTAAGGCTGCTCCCCTCTCAGGGGGAGGTGATCAAAGAGCAGGCCAATCAGTTCACATCAGAGGCAGTCCCTGTTTCCCTTACTGGGATACCTGCTTGGAGACTGAGCTGCCATGGGCCACATCTGTGCAGGGGTTCTAGGTTATCTCCATGCATGGTCCTTGGTTGATTATCAGTCTCAGAAAAGACCCCTGTGCCCAGGTTTATTTTCTGTTGCTCTCTTTGTGGAACTCCTGTCCCCTCCAGGTCTTTCTATCTCCCTCTTCTTTTATAAGATTCCCTACACTCTGCCCAAAGTTTGGCTATGGGTCTCAGCATATGTTTTGATACCCTGCAAGGTAGAGCCTTTCAGAGTTCTTATGGTGTATCTTTGATTCAAGAAATTTGTTGATAACCTTTTGATTTACTGGGAAGAATGGGACATTACATTCACACACTATTACTACTGTCTTGGAGTGAATTTATGACTTTTCATAGAATTGTGTTTTGTGAAATTTGGTGTACCCATGTTCAGCACAAACACACACACACACACACACACACACATCTAAAATTATATAATCATCTCGGTCAGTATGAAGTGACATTTTTTTATGACAAGTTGTGAGGTTGAAGCTTCTTTTTTTTTTCAGATATAAGAGCAAGTTCTTGTTTCCTAGTTCCATTAATTTGGAACTCCTTTTCTGTCTTTTCACCCTAAAGTTGCATGTACCTTTGATGATGAGGTATGTTTCTAGGAGGCAACAAACAGGTTGGTTAGTTGGTTAGTAATTGTGTTTTGACTGGGGAACTGATATCATTAGTATTCAGTTATTTTAAAGTATATCTCAATTCCTGTCCAAATTTGACACGACAGTGTTTGTTTTATATTATTATATCTTATTATTCTTTCCTAGAAGCCTACTTCTAATGAGAGAAAGAAAAAGAGTAAATCCAGATGGTAGAGAAAGGATGGGAGGAGGAACTGAGAGGAATAGAGGGAGGAAAAACCATAATCAGAGTATATTATGTGAGAAAAGAATCTAGTTAAAATTAAGGGAAAAATATCAAAAATAATAAATAAAAAATAAAAGCAAGCCATCTAGAGCCAAAAAAAGAAAAAAAATACATTTAATAATATTGCAAATATTTACCCATGACAATGACATCCTTCTCTCATATTTAAGTTTCCATATTTCTCAGTAATATTTTTAATTTTTAGTAATTGTCATGTATATCATATGTTAATTGATGATGGGTTGGTTTTTTTTGTAGTAAATGTTATTTTAGTTTTTATTCCCTAAGTAATATTGAAACATACATATATGGGAATATAAGCATATGGAAACATTTATTTTATATCATATCAAAATTTTCTGAAGCGAATTATTAATGTTGGTAGTTTTTTGTACATTCTTTAGGATTCCAGTGTAAAACTCTT